TGTTCTATCTATCTACCTACCTATCCCCATCCACCCCTCTATCTATCTATCTATCTATCTATCTATCTATCTATCTATCTATCTATCTATCTATCTATCCCCATCCACCCCTCTATCTATCTATCTATCTATCTATCTATCTATCTATCTATCTATCTATCTATCTATCTATCCCCATCCGCCCCTCTATCTATCTATCCATCCCCATCCACCCCTCTATCTATCTATCTATCTATCTATCTATCTATCTATCTATCTATCTATCTATCTATCTATCCCCCACAGATGGCCGTGGGTTCGAATCCTGATGGGGATCCTTCACCTCCCCTAGCGGGCTCTGGGTCCCAAAGGGTTAAAGATCCCTGCTTCCCCCCCCTCCCAGTCCAGAACAGGTGGCGCCTCAAGCCTTCCCATGGCAGCTGTGGAACGTGGCCCCCTCCCCCGCCCCGGAACCCTCCCGCCCTCCCCCCCACACACAGACACATACACTCCAGTGACAGCTGGTGGGACCAATGGGGCGGCTGGTGGGGGGCGGGCGTGCTGGGTGGCAGCTGGGCCTCAAGGAGACACACGGACACACGGACGGACGCAGCCATGGCGCGAGCGGCCCCAGTGCTGGTGACCCTCTGGCTTCTCCCGACAGTGGGTAAGCTCAGCCCCCCTCCCCCCGAGCCAGGCCTCAGCTAGAGAGCAGGGCGTGGGGCCAGAGAGGGGGCCCTCCGGGCGGGGACAGATGGGGCCCCAGGTAGAGCAGGTAGAGCACCGGGGCGAGATATGGGAACAGAGATTGGATGTAGATGTGGGGGCGGTGGAGGGATAGATAGAGGGGGTCGGGGGGATGGACGGAGGGGGTGGATGGATGGATGGATGGATGGGGGATGGATGGATGGACGGATGGGGATGAATGGGTGGGGGGGATGGATGGATGGACGGATGGGGATGAATGGTGGGGGGGATGGATGGATGGGGAGATGGATGGATGGATGGGGTGGATGGGGATGAATGGGGGGAATGGATGGATAAACAGAGGTTGTGTGGGGATGGATGTATGGGTGGGAGTGGATGGATAGATAGAGGGGTGTGGGGACAGACAGATTGAAGACTGGGGGGGACGGATAGCTGTGTAGGGGGATGGATGTATGGATAGCTGTGTATGGGGATGGATGGACGGCTGTGTATGGGGATGGATGGATGGGTGGATGGATGGATGGCTGTGTTTGGGGACGGATGGATAGCTGCGTATGGAGATGGAAGGATGGAGGGATGGATAGAGACATAGAGGTGTCTGGGTGGGGATGGATAGATGGATAGAGGGAACATGTGGGGAGGAATGGATGGATGGGGAGGGAGGGATAGAGACAGAGGTGTGTCTGGGTGGGGATGGATAGGCAGAGGGGCTGTGGGGATGGACGGATTGACGGGTGTGGGGGGATGGAGGGATGGGTGGAGAGATAGAGGTTTGTCTGGGTGGGGATGGATAGAGGGAACGTGTGGGGAGGGGGGATGGATGGATGATGGATGGATAGATAGTCGGCTCACTAGTTAGCTATGTCCCATGGGGCAGTACCAGGCTGCAGGGGGGCGTGATGGGGAACCACACACACACACAAACACACACACACATTCTCTCTCCCGGCAGTGGCGGGCGGCTTGGAGACCGAGGAGCGTCTCCTGGAGAAGATATTTGAGAACTACAACCCCAACGTCCGCCCCGCCCGCACCCTCACCGACAAGGTGTTCGTCCGGGTGGGCATGTCGCTGTCCCAGCTCATCAGCCTGGTGAGGAACCAGAGTTCTAGATCAGTCACCAGCACTCCTAAAATGTTCTAGACCAGGTTCTAGGTCGCCTACTGGGACAGAGCTCCTGGTCCTTTGCTGGCCAAAAAGAGACCCCATTCTAAATTAGCGTACACGTGGGATGGCGGATCAGCCGCTCATACTGTTCTAGACCATGTTCTAGACCAGTCTAGTGCCTGTAGCTCCTGGTCCTCGATGGCCCCAAAGGGATTGCAATCTAGATTGGCTTCGGGGCGGGGGGGCTGCTCAACCATCAAACCTTTTCTAGCTCAGCTGTATGGCACGGCCACTCGCACTGCCCAGAGAAGACTGTCCTCCAGGCTTGTTCCCTGGCGACATTCCGGACTGGTTACCGAGGCAGTTTCAGGCTGTGTTCTAGAGTGGCCTAGAACATAGCAATTCCTGATCAATACTGGCCAACGGGTGCTGTGTTCTGAGATGACTTCCCTGGCGGCAGCCTAGACCAATCACCCCCCAGTGCTAACCTATACCTTGCTCTAGAGCAGCCTAGAACAGAACAGTTTTCCCCAATGATGGTCCAGAGCCATTCTAGCCCATGTTCTAGAGCGGCCTAGCTCTCCTGTGCTGCACTGACTGTGTTCTAGATTAGATTTCCAGTAGTTTCTTTCCACGCCAGGGCCCAAAGCCACGCTAGAGCGACCTAGAATGCAGTTGCTTCAGCTGTGACACCTGGGCCTCTCGTTCTAGATTTCTTTTTGAGGCAGCTAGCGCCCGTGGGGGGTGGGGGAGGGCAGCAGGACCCCCGGCTCTGGCAGGGAGAGGGTTAAGGACCTCTCGCCCGCCCCCTTGGCCCGCGGACAGAGACAGCAGCTGTCACGGAGCCCGTCCCGGGCACGTTATAAATAGCAGGGAAGAGGGGGAGGAAATGGGGCTGGAGGGGGAGGGGAGCTGGATACATGCATGGGGTTGGCACCCCAGGCGGGAGTCCATCTCAGTCCCATCTGCCCCCCCATAAACCCACCCGCCCTGTCCGGTGCCCCCCAAAAGGGCCCTATCCCTCCCAAGATCCCCCCCCCCCACTGGGAGGGGCATTCTCAAGGGGGTTACACAGGGGGGAGGTACCGATCCTGGGGAGGGGGCAGGATTCTGGAGGCGAAGGGGGTATCCCCCGAATGACTTTTTAACCTTTTCTTACACACACCCCAGAATGAAAAAAACGAGGAGCTGACCACGAAGGTGTATATGGACCTGGTGGGTACCTTCCCCCCACCCACCCCAAAATATTTCCATGCCTACTGCCCCCCTCGCCCGTATCCCATCCCAGATTGGGGGCTGGGGCTGCGTTCGCACCTGGGCAGGTAGCTGGCACCACCTGGTGGCTGCTGGGGGGAAGTGCAGGGGTAGATTTCTGGTTGGGGGGGCTCTGTGGGTTATAAAAGGGGGGGCCAATGAGGAAAGGGGCCCCAGCTCTGCTTCCTTATTTATAACAGGAGCTGGGGCGGGGGGGGGGCTGGTCCATTCCCAGCTCAGCCACAGATGGCGGGCAGGTCACTGCGTGCCTCAGTTTCCCCATTTGTGCCATGGGGCAAACAGCCCTGCCCAGCCTCACATGATGGGGTGAGACTGGGAGGAGAAACACAGGGGGAGGAGCTCTTTCTTTCACACTCATCCATTCTTTCATTCACACTCATTCTTTCTTTCTCACTCATCTTTTCTTTCTTTCTTTCTTTCTTTCTTTCTTTCTTTCTTTCTTTCTTTCTTTCTTCACACTATTCCCTTTTTCTTTCCTTCTTTCCCACTCACCCCTGTCTCTTTCCCCTCTCCCTGCATCCCTCCCTCTTGGCCGTACCCAGGAGTGGACGGACTATCGCCTGAGCTGGAACGTGTCCGACTTTGACGACATCACGTCCATCCGGACCTCGTCCGACAAAGTCTGGCTCCCGGATATCTACCTCATGAACAAGTGAGCCGGGCGGGGGGGGGGACAGAGGCCCTGGGACAAGCTGGTGGCCTTCGCCTGCGTGGCGCCTCTTCCTTCCTTCTTCCTTCCTTCTTCCTCCTTCCTTCCTTCCTTCTTCCTCCTTCCTTCCTTCCTCCTTCCTTCCTTCCTTCTTCCTCCTTCCTTCCTTCTTCCTTCTTCCTCCTTCTTCCTTCCTTCTTCCTTCTTCCTTCCTTCTTCCTTCTTCCTTCTTCCTCCTTCTTCCTTCCTTCTTCCTTCCTTCCTTCTTCCTCCTTCCTTCTTCCTTCCTTCTTTCAGTAACGATGGGAATTTCGACATCGCCTTGGCTGTGAATGTTTTGGTGTCTCACGTTGGGACCGTTCGCTGGCTTCCCCCAGCCCTCTACCGCAGCAGCTGCAGCATCCAGGTGAGCTGAGCACCGGGCTGGGGGCGCGGTGCTGCAGTGTGGGGCCCAGCAGGGGGCGCTGTGCAGTGGGGGGGCCAGCAGGGGGCGCGGTGCTGCAGGGGACAGAGGGGGCCAGCAGGGGCGCGGTGCTGCAGTGGGGGGCCCAGCAGGGGGCGCTGTGCAGTGGGGGACCCAGCAGCGGGCGCTGTGCAGTGGGGGGCCCAGCAGAGGGCGCTGTATCCACGCCGTCTCTCCCCTGCCCAGGTGACCTACTTCCCCTTCGACTGGCAGAACTGCAGCATGGTGTTCCAGTCGTACGCCTACGGTGCCGCCGAGCTCGGCCTGCTGCACCCGCTAGACGAGGACGGGCGCGAGGTGCGGGAGATCATTGTCTTCGACAACACCTTCATCGGTGAGCCGGGCATGCCGCACACACTCACATACAACTACACACACAGGGCTACGCACACACACAGCTACACACACGCACACACAGAGACCTACACACGCACAGCTACACGCAGACACACACAGAGACTCGCACAGCTACACACGCATACAGACACACATATACAGCTACACACAGAGACACACACACAGCTACACACATACACACAGCTACACACAGAGGCACACTCACAGAGCTACACACACACACAGTTACACACAGAGACACACAGCTACACACAGCTACATGAACACACAGAGCAACGCACACACACCGCAGAGCCATGCATGCACCATCACAACACTCACACAGAGCTATAAACACACACACACAGAGCTACAAATGCACAATCAAAACACACACCTACACAAACACACACACAGCTACACAGGCACACACACACAACACATGGAGCTACACACACACAGAGCTACGCACACACAACCACAACACACACACAGCTACACACAAATAGAGTTACACACACACCCCTACACATGCACAGCCACTCACACAACACACCATCATCTCAAACACGCACAGAGCTACACACACATGGCCATCTCTCTGTCACACACACACAGCCAGGCATGCACAACCACAACACACACAGAGCTACAGAGAGAGAGAGAGGTACACACACAGAGCCATATCTCACAACACACCGAGTAACACACACACACAAACAGAGCTACACGCATACATTGACAACCACAACACACACAGAGCGACGCACACAGGAACAACCACAACACACAGCTACACACACACGCAGGGTGTCACACACATGACCACAACACACACAGAGCAACACACACACACACACACAACTGTCATGCACACAGCAAAAAACACCCACAGCGATACACACACAAAGCCACAGCACACACAGAGTGACACACACGGAGCGACACACATACAACATGACACACACAGCACCACCCACATGCACGCAGTTGCTTGACACACAGACACAACCTGCACAACATCACACAGCCAATCCCTGCATATTCTGGGTAGTGATCCCACTACTGCCACCAATTGTCTCTGGGCCCCACTCCCCTGCCACTCCTAGTGGGGTGACTCCAGATTGGCACCCCTTTGCCCCGATCCGCTTCTCTGCCCTCCAGACAACGGGCAGTGGGAGATCCGGCACAAGCCAGCGCGGCGCAACACGCTACCTGGGGATCCACAACACGAGGACCTGACCTTCTACCTCATCATCCGCCGCAAGCCGCTCTTCTACATCATCAACGTCATCATCCCCTGCATCCTCATCACCATCCTGGCCATCTTCGTCTTCTACCTGCCCCCCGATGCCGGTGGGTGCTGGGCAGACGGGCACAGGCTGCCCCGGTGCAGTGGGGGGCGGGGGAAGTGCCGGACCCATTCCGGGTGCGGGGGCAGGAATCCGGTGCCAGGTTTTCCTCTCCTCCCAGGAACCGCCCCCCTTTCCAGGGGGCTGAGGAATCCAGTGCCGGGACTCCGGTCTCCCTCAGCAGACCTGAGTCCATGCTAGATGGGCCCCTTGGCAGACCAGAGGCCAGGTTAGATGGGCCCCACAACCCCCTGTCTCTGGGGACAGACCAGAGGCCATGTTAGATGGGCCCCACAACCCTCTCTCCATGGGGAGAGATCAGAGGCCAGGCTAGATGGGCACAGGTCTCCCAGTCCTCCCCGGGCCTGGCTGATGCCCCCTCCACGGTCTCCGCCCAGGGGAGAAGATGACCCTGTCCATCTTCGCCCTGCTCACCCTCACCGTCTTCCTGCTGCTGCTGGCGGACAAGGTGCCGGAGACCTCGCTGGCGGTGCCCATCATTGTCAAGTACCTCATGTTCACCATGATCCTGGTGACCTTCTCCGTCATCCTCAGCGTGGTGGTCCTCAACCTGCACCACCGCTCGCCCAACACCCACGACATGCCCTTCTGGGTCAGGCAGGTAATGCGCCCCCGCCACCCCCTTCCCTTCCCCACCCCCGGCTCCCACCTGGCCCCAATGCGGAGACTGGCTGGCTCAGGGGGCCGGGGAATGGGATATGAGCCTGCCCCAGGGCCGGGGCTCATGGAGGGGTTCTGGATTCTCTCTCCTGGGCAGATTTTCATTCACCGGCTCCCACGGTACCTGGGGTTGCAGCGGCCAAAACCGGAGGCCATCCTGAAACCTCCCCCAGCCCCCAGACGGGAACTGGGGGTCAAGAGCAACCGAGGCACAGACGAGTATTTCATCCGCAAACCCACCTGTGACTTCCTCTTCCCCAAGCCCAGCAGGTCAGATGGGGGGCGCTGTGGGGCAGGGAGCAGGGCGGAGGGCTCAGCAGGGGGCGCTCTCCCCTGGCAGGCAGGGCTGGCCCCAGGGCAGCGCTAGGGGGCGCTGTGGGGCAGGGATTTTCAGCGTTTTCTTCTGTCTCTCTGAATTCCCCTGTGGCGTTTCAGCCAGATGCGAGGTTCTCCTTTCCTTCCTGGCCTAAAAGGCTGTGCAGGTGTTAAGCAGCCCTCGCGCCCCACCCCAGAGGTGTCCGCATCTCAGCCCCGGGCGAGGGGTCCCCAGGTAACCAGCCGCCACCCCCCAGAGGTGGCCGCATCTCAGCCCCGGGCGAGGGGTCCCCAGGTAACCAGCCGCCCCGCCCCAGAGGTGGCCACATCTCATGGGCCCCTATGGAGGTCTTGACGGCTCTTTCTGGTTCTCCCTTCAGGTTCTCCCAGGACCCCTTCTCGCAGGACCTGCGGCGGTTCATCGACGGGCCGAGCGAATGCCTCGTCCTGCCACCCGACCTCAAGTCCGCCATGGACGCCGTCACCTACATCGCCCGGCAGCTGCAGGACCAGGAGGACTATGACACGGTGAGTGGGGACCGGCCGGCTGCCCATCACCCGTGGACTCTGACTCCGGCCCCAGCCAATGCCCCCCGACCCCCGGTCCACAGGATCAGAGCTTGTCTGTCTGTCCAGCGCCAAGCACAGTAGGCAGGTTTGGGAGGGTCGGCGGGGGAGGGTTGGGGGCCCCTATGGGTCAGGGTTAAGGGGGCCTAATGGCGCAGTCCTGGGGGGTTGGGGGAGGTTTAGGGGGGTCAGTGGGGCAGGGTTGGGGGCCACAATGGGGCAGGGTTATGGGGCAGCAAATGGAACAGACTTCAGGGGGTGGGGAGGTTTATGGGGGTCAGTGGGGCTAGGTTAGGGGTCACTAGGTGCACCTACTCAGCAGAGCATTAGGGGGCCACAAGGAGCAGCCCCCCATGTCACTCCCCCTGCCCCCATTTCCCCCCAGCTCAAGGAAGACTGGCAGTACGTGGCCATGGTCGTCGACCGTCTCTTCCTCTGGACCTTCATCACCTTCACCAGCGTCGGGACCCTCACCATCTTCCTCGACGCCAGCTACAACCTGCCCCCCGCGCACCCGTTCCCGTGATGGGGCCTCGCCGTGAATCTGGAGTCACTCCCAATCGCGTTCACACTCCACCGGGGATCAGCGGAGTGACTCCAGATTCAGCCCCCCGCCCCCCGGAGCTGGATGGAGTCAGTTCTGCCTGTGACCTCCAGAGGGCGCTGTGAGGTGGTGGTGGCTGTTTTCTGGGGCTGAATAAATCCCACAATTTGATTCACAGTAAAAACGGGTCATTCAGCTTCATTGAATCCGGTGTCTAGTGGATTAGAGTTGGGGAAGGGGGCACCGCTGGGAGCCAGGACTCCTGGGTTCTCTGCCCGG